GTGTGTGGTCACATTATGCACATCTGGTGTGACACGCACACACCCCTGTTATTAGGGTTCGTGTAACCCCGTTACACTGTTTGCCCGTCAAAGGAGACGATAGCGTGCGGAACATGACCTGGAGCTGATGAACCTTACCACCGCAATGGCGCCTGCTCCTTTCATGGGAACAATTACACTAAATATCTTTGCGAAGTGTCCACGAGCGGGTACGGCTCGAATAAAGAATTTCTTCTTTCATATCACCCCTTTAGGGGGAGGATCGGTGTTGCACATAACGCGTAGTAGAGCCGAAATCTGTACCGGCAGTGAAAGTCCTATGCGCGCAACAGAGGCGTTGGACCCCAGCCATGCCGAGAAGAGAGTAGTTTATCTCTTAGCTGCCGAGAAGCGTTGCAATATCCGCAAATGCTTCACATGTTTTAGCATACAACTCCTGCGCATTGCGTACTTATCAGTCTCGGCTTCAAATCGAGAATGGTCATGCTTATGTAAGGTGGACTCAATCTTCAAGGGAAAGCGTCGGTATTCGGTAGGCGCAGCGCGATCCAGCCATAATAAACATTTGCAGCCTTTGCTTACAAACTAAGCCTATTACCACAATCAAAAAGCGTGTTCTTAGAGCCGACAAGCGTTTTGTTCTGGGTTGCTTCATCATGACGTATGGCCTACGGGCAGATTCTGCAACAAAAACAACTTGTTGAGTAAATGGTGCTTTTGTCTTAAGCGACTTTGGAAGAGGCTTGACCTGGTGATTTATTAGCACAAGTATAGTGCACATTGGGCTGACATGGCATTTTCCATCACGAGATTTTCTAGAAAAGGTGTCAGATAGTACCGGGGCATGTCAGAAGAGGCAGCTCCAATGCTGTGATTGAGATCCTCATGTGTGTCCCGATGTCGCGCTTTCTAGATCTAGATCAGCTATTTTTGTCGCCTTTGATACTACTGCCATTGTCATAGGCAGTGTGCTGTATTCCAAGCAGATGACGATCGGCTTAAATGCACGATTATATTTCAATCTCGCCAGCATATAGTGGCAGAGAGGAATTAATTGTTCGTGAAAAGGGGTTACATACAATTGAAATGCCCTTGCCACGATCAGAATGTACCTTCATTTTGATTTATTTGTCTCTATGCAGACCGTGCGTCGTTGCGTACAGCAATGTCGTTGCCAGATCTTTGGCAGTGCATACAAGATGATGATCATACTTCTACGCTTAGAATAACTTTAAATAAGGTAACATCCAGGTACGCTTGATATGTAAGCTTCGCGTCACCTTAATTTTAGGTTGTTGCGCGCTGCGATAAATTACATCACCAAACAATGAGGCAATACATATAAGGTACGCGTCAGATGTAACATTTCTTACACTATAGTCTTTTTGGACTGTTCAAGGCAGTAATGCAATGGTGATGCATATACGCTAGACATGCCTCCACACACGCACCCGCACCTGGCATCAAAGTTGGACAGAACCATTTCGTACCTTTCAAGCGGATTCAACAATCCTATAATACCATTTGCGGGCGATCAAGCTGATCGTGAAGTTTCCCCATTTGACTACGAAGAGTCACCAACTCTTCACCCTGGAGACTAATCTCACAGAATAAGTTTTTGTAACATCACGAAGTGCTTTTTAACCGAATCATGTGCCTGGCAGCAAAGTTGGCAATCGTCACAAGCCCCTTCGACAGAGCGCAGTAGGCGTTTGTGATACACACCAGGAGCTTAGTGGCTTTATTCATGTAGCTTTGAGTACTATGAATTCAGTTTCAGATTTACTGCATTTATACCAAGTCCTCGTCTCAAGTGCAAGTTTGTGTGACGTCTTTAAGGGTCTTTTTGGATAGCCTTTTACTTAATTTCAAATAAAATGTTATTTAATTTACTGAATCCTGAATACTTCCTTATCAAACCGCGTGCTTGCGCGTCTCATCCCACGGCTAGCTGAATTCTTACAGCATTAACCCACATAACAATCAGCGTGTTGTGGTGACTTTGGATGAGGATCTGAAGAACAAAATACCGTTGAAGGCACAGTATGTCCCTTTGTGTTCACCTCGAAAGCGAGAAGACATGCTACAAAGATTGAACTATGCATCGGTGCTCAAAAATTTAAGTGGGTAAGCACACGTGTGGGAGGTGTCAGTGGATTAAATCTTCGCCGCCGCATCAACTTCGGCCAGTCTGCCAGTTCCGGCAGAGCGCTGGCACTAAAAAATATAGACATTTATTTTGATCTCCCAAAAGATGGCGCAGGAAGAGCCGGCTTCGTGGACTTTGTGGGTCAGCTGAGTAAGAATGCTCACCTCGCTGCTACCAGCAATATTACGACCGGTGGGGATACAGCAAAACGCTTCCTCGACAAAGTGTTTCGCCAACATAAGTTGGCTGTAGCCATCGTACCAGAATCAGCTTCGTGCATTTAAGTGAAACGTTTGTAAGGTACTTGGCACCAGATGGGACATATCAGCTGCTGGTCTTTCACGAACAAATGGTCGGACAAGCCGTGTTATTTTCGGGAGGAGTTTAGCCTCCAAAGCAATTACACAGATATACTGCAGTACTGGTGCTGTTTCTACCACTCTTCGGGTCAGCATTCAAGGACGTATACCATACCTCTAAAGGCTTGAGTCCATTCAACATGAATGGTTTATTTAACCCTTAATGGTATAAGGCACCGCCAAGAAGTGGATCCGGTTATGGCGGCGGAAGGGTTGTGTAATAACTTGCTAATGTCACCCGGCTACACTTCGTAGCAACTCAGCAATTGTATTTATCGAGCCGAATGCCAGGATGCGTGAAGCTATGCTTGAGAGCCAGTATCTATGAAAAAATACTCCGATACCAGATGCACACACATATGTTGTGAGGCAGAAATTTCTATAAATTGCTACAATCCAGCCTACATGATGTCCTTAAAGCTAAGCTGCGACCGTATTACATTGGGCAGCTCGCGATCGCGATACACTCTTAACAACCTAAAAAAATACATACACAACCAGTACTTTGCATGGGCTTCTAAAACCATACGAGACACTTCAACAATATTTTCAGGTGCAATTATCGCTTACAACTAGGCATGCCTTCAGCCATTATCTCCCTTGATGAAGAAGCTGAATGGCACGTCGCAGCACGTATACCATTTGAGTGCGAAGCCGACCTCGTTGAACGCTTGGTCGGTGGTTTCTCAGGGAGACGAGAGGGGTTATTAGCAGCTTCGACGTCCCTGTCGTGATTGGTAGTTTGCAGATGCAAGCATTGACCGACGGTTTTGTCAAACGTCCGCATCATTGAAGCTGGCTTACAAAGCCTAAGAAGGGTGAAACAGCGCGTTTTGCTCACTATGAGCTGCGGCAAAACATGCGAATTTAGTACCAGTCTAATTAGAATTATCGTATGTATACGTCTCTTTTGAAATAGCAGACCGGTCGAAAGTGCGTACCCAACCTCTGTGATCTGTTAATGCAGACTCTAAAAGCCGAAGTTTTCTGCGCGCAAAGAATATTCATCAAGGTATAAGTCTTATACTTAACACATCTACAACTCATAGCACTCCTGGTACCTTTGACCTTCCGTGTGCCATCGTCACTCCGTTACTTCATGGGCCATTTATATGTAAGCGTTATTGCAGTACACCGATGCACATATGCCAATTAGATGATAATGAAAGTGTTCGACAGAACGCCACCACAAAATGCAACGACTTTCAAGATTGGTCACGAGACGCTTTGTCACAAATCAGCTTGGCTGCAACCTTATCGGTCAAATTATCACTGGCAGCAATTTGATGGTCATCTTGCTCAGACAGCCCACACAGGCCACAATACCAATATTGCCGTGCGCTTATTTTACAGAAATATAGTTCGAACAGATGAACAGATTTGACTGCAGGCACCTTTAAATTATACAAATTATCACGCTTTGTTGTAACTTCACCCAAGGACAGTGGCATAATTTTTGCAAGCTGACATATCGCACATTTTGGCCACACCTTTGGCATAGCTTTTGTGGGCTGGCAGTGTCTTGTCATTTACTACTGCAGCTAAGGGAACAAGAACCGACGTCAAAGCGTGACAAGTATACGCAATAGCGGGACATAATAATTGGACTCAGCGACATAATATGTCGTGATATAACACAAAAGGATAACATGGATAGGTTTCACTCTATTGATAACACAAATGACAAGAAAGCTTTGACGGCTCTAGAACTCGGTCAAGCCTGCGAGCAATCGCTAACAGGCGTAAGGTGAGCAATGCATATTGGCGCAAATGGCCCTACTGTAAATTTAAACATAGCATTGAAGGACAATAAATGTGTTTCGAAATGACATTGAACAGTATTGTGACGGGTCACACGGCACCTTGCACAGAGGAAGCTTGACTTCCAAGAGTATAC